CAAGGCCAGGTTGGATGAACCTGGAGCACCCTGGGCTGGTTGAGAGGCGTCCCTGCCCATGGCAGGGGTGGGGTGGGATGAGCTCTGAGGTCCCATCCAACCTCAGCCTTTCTGTGATTCTATGAAATTACCACAAAGGGTTTTTCAGGGTCCCTGTCCACTGCACCAGCAGCAGCACCGGAGGACTCGCCGGGAGGTTTGCTCGCAGGGAGAGCGGTTGATGCTGGCACTGCTGGCCGTGCCCTGTGAGCGTGCCCGGGATGAAGGCACCACAGAGACAGTTCTGAGAGAGGGAGTCTGAAGATGAGAGAGGGCATCAGGTGAGGAATGGCCACAATCATTAAGAAGCCATGAAAATGCTTTTCCTTCTCCTCTAGGTCATTCCTACTGTTTCTCTTGCTCTCAAGCACTCACACTCCTAAGGCAAACTTCTTCCCAACTATCCAGTGACTGTGCTTGGTAGGAGTTACTGAAACAGAAGAAGAAATCACCACTTATTTGCCTTATAAGAAGAAAGAAAAAAAGTACCTCTGACAGGAAAGAGGGACCTCTCCATCTCTCTCCTTGTCCCTTTCCCCCTGAGATTCCCTGTGGAAAATTTATCTTCACTTACAGTGAAACAGTGTTTCTGACACCGATACCTGCCTTTTTAGCCAGGAAGAAACTTCCCACACTTCTCGGGCAGCTGCGTGCAGAGACAAACATATCTGGAGGCACCGACAACTCAGCAAACTGGTTTTATGGTTACAGCAGAGCCCTGGGATCAAAGGCAACCACCTAGTCCCCATATTGCCACTAAGTAATTGTGCTCCAAGAGAAACATACCTCTGCCCGTCGCTCCTGTCCCCTTTCTGTACTGCTGGGGACTGTGGATTGGCAAGCAAGCACTTCAGTGGGCTGACAAGGCACTCGACGTGGTGTATAACACAACACCTGCCCCAAACCTCCTCAGGGTCCTGCCCTTTGCTGCTCACCTAGACGTGCTCTTGTCCTGGGTCCTTGCATCTGACTCCGGAGCTCAGGGCGAAGGTGAAACTTCTTCGCTTCATCTACGAGGTCTCTGCACTGCAGGCTGCACCGAATAAAGGGCTGGGGAGAAACATGACTCATGGTACACGCAATGTATTTTAAGATCCCTCACAAGAACTGTCCTAAAGCCAGCTCTTGTCAGTTTAGACAGCATAAAAATGGCTCGTTTGCAGGGTTTTGCGAGCAGTATCGCGGCACAAATCCTACATGCAAGGAAACGCAACGACAGCTTTGGACTGGAGCTGACAAGGTCTGGCTCAATTCTCACCCAAAGGCTGGCCCTGCAGGATCCACAATGAAAATAACTACATTGGAAAGCTGAGGAAAAGCTACCTCTGCTACATTTAAGCCAGCAGAAGTATGTCTTAGGCTGGTTTTGGAACAGATCTAAGTGTTTTGGTACCAGTCCCTTTTGTTTCAGCTTCCATTTCAGTTTGAAGTGGACTGTCACCACCTGACAGGACACAGTTCCTCTCTGGCACAACTTAACTGCCCGTCAGCTGCCCTTATATGACAACATCTGTAAGAGGCTGCTACATCACATTAGATCTGAATGTTGCTAAATCACCCACTCCCGTGCTAGAGAAATCTGTCACTTGACGCTCAGCACCTGTCCGGTGACAAGGGCCAGTAACCATCTCCCACCACCATCACACCAGAACGCCAGTCTGAGCTCCTCGGCGCCTTCCTGCCAAGCCTTGCACGGGGTCAGCATCACCTCCTGTTCGGAATTAAACTCCCGCTGCAAAGCTTAATTCTCTCCTATCATCATCCACACTTTGGTTTGGATATTTATCGCCCCAGCCACACAAAGAAGCAGTACTAGGTATGGCTTTTAGCTCCTTCTTATTCAAAGGCACATGCTGGACATCTGCACCTTGACATCTGTCTCCTCGCCAGGGCCACAGGCCAGCAGCCTTCAGCCTAGAGCAGGAGACCTGCCAGCACTTGCGAGCGAAAGGCAGAAAGCACTCGTTAGAAATTAAAACGGATGATGACAGGAAGGTGCTACACGGATCAGAAGAGACGACCGACTAATTGCTCTGGATGGGGCGCCCTCCCAGCTGACGAGCAGGACGCTGCAACTGCTGGCACAGCAAACCACTTCCGAGCAAAACCGCGGGCGCTCCAGCTGAACAGGGACAACTTCACAGCGTCAGCATCAAAAATCATCAGCAGGGAAAGCAGCTTTTAACGACGCCCTGTTTGGACAGCGGGAGCCTATCCGGGGAACAGGGCAACCGCGCGCAGACCCGGGCTCGCAGCCGCGCTGTGCCGCGGGTACCTCGGTGTCGATGACGTCTGTGATGTAGCGGGGGGTGAGCAGCGGCATGCGCACGTACTGCAGCAGTTCCGGCAGCGATGCTTCCCGTTCTTTTTTCGAGTGCTTCACCCAGTTTATAACGGCTTCGAAAACCGGCTCTTCAGAGTCCACCTGGAAAGAGGAAGCACGTGCTGACCAGGCTGCAGGATAAGAGTTCAGCTACTGCCGTGGAACAGACAACTGCCAGGCAGCTGACACTGCTGCAGTGTCAGGAGAGCAGGACCTTTCAAGTCAGAGCGTGTTACAGAAATTCCCATGAGCTCTGTTTACAAGCGCTATGCAATTGCCGCATTTTCTTTTCCTTAAAACTGCATGTTTCCCTTAGAAGTGTGTTTGTTTTTTCTTTAGAGCTGAGAGCAACAACTGGCAGCACGAGCGCCGCAGGAGCGAGCTCCACGGTCCGCAGCAGCGCCAGAAGCTGCGAGGCACCGCTGCTGAGGGCACGTGGTGATGGGCAGGAGCTTGCTGGGCAGCTCCCTTGACTGCCCAGAGGAGCAGGAGTTACGGTCCTGCAAAATAAAAAGTACCATCATAAAGATGATCAGAATCATGTTTTCTTTTCATGAAGCAATGTCTCTCTTAACCCCCTGCAGCCCCGTGCTCATGCACAGCTCCTTTAACACCTGAGCCACAACTGGTACCTTTAAGTTCTTGGTGTTTTTTTTATTATTTCAATTCACGTTTCAGAAATTATAAACAGTTGGATTTTAGAGTGGGAGAACCCCAGGGGGTGAATGTTGCTGTTTATGTCTACTGTGTGTTTTATTTCGTGACTAGTTTGTTATTTCTCTCTCCATTTAGGACCAGCACAGACAGGTACTTATACCACTTCCAGAGGTTACACTGACTTTTCAAGAACCTCAGGTGCTTTGGACATCTACGACTACCAAAAGCAAAAGAATTGTAACAAACTCTGGAACACATTATTTAGGCTTGGTTTTCTTTCTGTGTGTCTTCAGATCATTCAAGGCAAAAACCAAATCCAACATGGATTTGTTACCATGAGGTCTCTTCACTGTCATTACCTACGAAGACAAAAGGAGATAGTGGAACAAGGGAACTGAGCCTTCCCACCGCGATGTGACTGGTCCACTGTGGATACATTTCACAGCGAGCCGTGCTGGCGGCACTGCGTTGCAGAATTAAGACTTTTGTCC